GATGACGACCCTCATTCCAGTATGAGGATTCCCCCAGCTACCAAGATTGCTGGTTAGGCACCAGGAACAAGGCCAGCAGGAAGTGCATTGGCTCCGCCCACTGTGTAAGCTGCCCCATCCCCTGCACCCACTGCCCTCAGCCCCAAGTCAGCTCCTGGCAGCGGAGCACTCTCCACCCTGCAGCCCCATGCAGGGCGCCCACTCATCCATGCTGCTCCGGTAATTAAGTTGATATTCCAACAGGACTTCCACTCCTGACCTTTTGGAAACAAGGTGTTTTGCTGCATCAACAAATTAACTGCAAATCAGATGCTGTCCTCATAAATGTGGGTTTCATATCAAATGAGCATACTCACCTGGCCCACACGGCTGACAGATTTAAACGCCAAGGGCCAGGCAGAGGCCATAGAGTCCCCCTCTTCTCTGGGACACCCGTGTCAATCACACTTTCAGACTTATCCCGTGTTCACATCTCCCAGTAGTCCCTTGGCAAGGGGTGGGGGATGAGCTGGCAACATGGAGTCCTGGGTAGGCCCCTGTGGCCGGAGGGGTGTCCAACCTTAGACGTCCACCCACCCTCCTCCCATCCATCTTCTACACCAAGGACAGACACTAAGACCTGGAATAGTCCCCTCTCACCGCACTGAGGAGAAAATCCACACTTCTTAGGCAGTCAAAGCCCTATATTATGTGACCCCCCTACCAGCCCTCTAAGGTGCTCCCCATCTTCATATTCACCCTCGGTCTAGTCTTCTCAGACCACTGTGGTTCTCCTGTACCAGGCACCTTAGTTCCCTACCACCCCATCTGGTGGAAGACCCCTCCTTTGAACCTCCACAGACCTCAGCCCCCTCTGTCCCCTCGTCAGAGTAGGAGCCCTTGGAGGGCGGTTCATGGAGGTACCCTGTGCCTGTATAGGGTGTACTCCACTGTTCGTTAAATGAACGAACCAATGAGTCACATGCCTCTGGAAAGAGATGCTCAAATAAGGAAGGGAAGGTGGCAGTCCCCTCTTACCAGCCTTCTCAGGCACAGATCTGACAACAGAGTCTAACTTCAGACGGGACGAGGATTAGAAAAGCCGTGTCAGGAGGACTTCACATGACTTTGGAAATCTGGGTTGACAAGGATAGCACAATGGACTGAGAATACTAGCTCTGTGACCTCAAACTAGTCCCTTCACCTCTCTGGGCCTCCTGTTTCCTCTCTCTATAGCAGGCAAATAATTATTCTCTAACTTGCCTCACCAGGGGATGTGAGGCTCAAAGGAAAGAGGAGAAGTAGAAAAGCTTTGAAAGGGAAACGCATCGTATAAATAGAAGAGATTACTATTAAAATCCAGTCTCCTTCAACAGTGCTTGACTAACAGTGCACTCCCTTGGAAAACCAAGGTCCTCGCATCCACAGGGCTACTCTGGGAAGACGTGTGGGTCCAACGGGAGGAGAGGACTGGATGGTCCCATTTCCTCTTGAGGATTCCGGGTCAGAGCCTTCCGTGGCTGTATTACACGCCCGCAGCATCCTCACACCAGGACTTGTGACTCAAGAGTTATTTCTGTTTTAATAAGAGTCAACTGAGGCTTAGGCCAAGTAACTCACCCAAGTGGCAGAGCCAATACTGAACGCAGCTAGAAAACAACAGAACCAAGATGTGTGCTCATGTCTGTCTAACCCAAATACTCTTTGTCCTCTCAGAAAGCCATTTTTCTGTGATGTAGGACAAGTCCCATTAGGTCATACATTCCTTAAGGGTAAAGGCTGTGACTTCTCCTGAGTCCCTGCTCCCTGACCCCAAATAGTTGTTCCTTAAAAGTACACGGGAGGAATCCATCCACCCCGTAGAGTGAATCTGCTTCCCCATGACCATGACCTTCAGGAGGGCGGCTGCTTGTGTGGGTCATGGAAACCCACAGCCCAGCTCGGGGAGTGCCAGGTGAATTGTGAAATGGAACCCTTCTTACTGGCCTTTGAACTCACTTAAGGAACAGCAGCCAGTGCAGCCGTGTTTTGATCCCGTGAGCCAATTGAGGATCACACAACCGTGCAGAGGTGTCCAGCCTCTCTGTTCTCTGCTTCTGGTTTAGCCGCTGCCTCTTCCAGCCATGGGAAGCACACTGGACTCGCAGTCAGGAGGCCTGGGACCAGCTCCGGTGCTCTCCTTACCAGCAGGTCACTTGACCTCTCTCTAGTCTGCTTCCTTGTCCACAGAAGGATATGCCTTCTGCCACTAGGGCCATGAGGGGGGTGGGGGTGTGAGCTGGAGGCTGGGGTGCATGGGGTGCAGAGAAGAAGAGGGCAGGTCTCTGCCCTTGGGAAGGGCTCCTGGGTCCCCTGCATGACATTCACTGGGTGTTGTAGGGAAAGTGAATCTGTCTTCAAATAAACCGGGGAAGCAAAACTTAAAAAAAAAAAAAAAAGGAGTTTCTTACTGAAAGTGGCCTGAGGTGACCTCTGAAAATGGTTCGCTATTCACTTGACCCAGAAACCCCACAAAATCATGCAAATCAACAGGTTCAACTCTTTGTGTTCACTTAAGAACAGCTGTTCTTAAAGTGCCCAGGCCATCAAGGGTATGCATATCCAAATGCCTCCAAGTATCTGAAGGATGTCACTTTACAGAAGCAGTGGGTGTCGTGCGTCGTTACAATGGTGGGGTTGGTACGTGTGCCCAGGCTATACAGTGCGGCAGGGTCGGTGGCCCAAAAAGAGTGCTGAATTTTTGCTGCATATGCTTTAAAATGCAGAGAGTAATGCTGAACTTAAGGGTCTAGATGTAGATTCTCTGGTCATTGAGCACATCCAAGTGAACAAAGTTCCCAAGATGCAGTGCAGAACGTACCAAGTTCATGGGCGGATTGACCCATACATAGCTCTCCCTGCCACACTGAGAGGATCCTGCTGAAAAAGAGCAGATTGTTCCGAAATCAGAAAAGGAGGCTGCACAGAAGAAAAAGATATCCCAGAAGAAACAAAACCTTATGGCCCTGAAGTAAATTCATAATATAATGCTAATGAAAGTATTAAAAAAGAAAAAGAAAACAGGAGTTAATATGGTTTTGCCTGGTTAGGATGTTTTTTTTTGGGGGGGGGGGGTTGGTTATTGCAAAGACTTCCTTTGCTGCACTAACAGTCATTGTGAATCTCCAAAGGGAACAAGACAGTAGACAGCATCTCCCAGACTTGTCTGGCTAGAAAACCCCCCTTTCTCCCTTCGGACAGTGCATCTCCTAGGACGTGTTTCTCAGACGACACCTTGGGAGACACCAGCCTTCCAGCGAGATGATTTGAGTAGACAAGTGGCATGATTGGGCATGTGTTGTGTGCTGTTTAAGTCCACTCTGGAGCAAGTATGGAAGGTGGGTTGGGAGGGGGAGCGGCTGGAGGCAGGGAAACCTGCCATGTGATAGTTGCCCATGTCTCTGATCGGGCGCTGTGGGGAGAACTTGGCGAACATCATCTCATTGAGTCTTCCTAACAGCCCCCCCCCCCCCCCCCCCCCCCACAGCCCTGGTAACCTGAGGAAAGGAAGGCTGGGTGGTTAAAAATCACCGGCCCTAGGAACCCAGAGGGCAAATGGGGGCTGAGGCTCAGTCCAGGACTGTCCCACCTAGAGGCCGCCTCCTGAGCACTCGGCCACACTGCCTCCCCTGCCGGCAAGAAGGGAGATGGCCAGGTCACAGGTGCCGAGAGTGAGGACTGCAGAGCTGGAGGAGTAGAGTGGCCAAGCAGATGGGAAGGAGGGGGTGAGAGCTGGGCATCTGGACAGGGACAGTGGCCTCTGCTCCCATTCTCTGTCCTGCTTGCCTCCTGATGAGCTGTGTATGCTGGGAGGCTCAGTGGGTGGCATCCTCAACCCCGATGGCCTCCAACTGAAGAAGGCTCACTGAGCAGGGCTTGGCCCACACTCCCCGCTAAGGCATAGGATCTGGGAAGTCACAGTACATTTCCATCCAGATGAGCTCTCAGTGTGCCATGAGGACCCCAATTCTCCACCAAGTCTCTCAGCAGATTTTCCCCACAGGCCACTCTGATAGGCCCTGTGCAGGGCAGGGAGCCAGGGAGGCCTGGGGTACACGGCCCCTCCCCTCTAGGAGCCAGGTCAGAGAATGACCTCTGAGGTTTGTTCCCTGAAGAATCCCTCCAGCCAGAAGCTCTGTCCAAGAGAAATGTCATGGGAGCCACACATGTGAGTCCCATGTGGAATTAATATGTTTAACCCAAATATCCAAAATACTTCCATTTCAGCACGTAATTATTATTAAAACTAACCAAGATATTCTACATTCTTTTTTCAAATGTTGTTTTTTTAGTCTGAAATCCAGTGTGTGTTTTACCTTTACAGCATGTCTTTTTTGTTTTGTTGTTTTTTTAGAGAGAGTAGAAGGGAGGAAGGGAAAGAGAGAGAAACATCAATGTGAGAGAGACATACTGATTGGTCGCCTCCCGAAAGCACCCCACCAGGGGTCAGGGATTGAACCTGTAACCGGGTATGTGCCCTTGACCGGGAATCAAACCCATGACCCTTTGGTGCGAGCAAACTGGCCAGGGCATTACAGCCTTATTAAATAGGACTTGCCACACATGGCCGCTGGCTCCTAAAGTGGGCAGTGCACATCTAGGCTTTGTCGAATAAGGATGTACCTTCATGAACTGCGTGGTTGAATGAGCAGGAAGCTCCTGGAAGCCTCCCAGGGTTTGCTGAAGTCCAAGGTCTCAGTCTTGTGTGGGCTTTTATTCTCCTGACTCCGCCTACCGGTCTCCCACCTCCTCGGGGCATCTGCATGGGCAGGCCTTTGAAAGAACAGAGCTTGACTCTCAAGATAAAGGATTGGAGAGTAGAGCCAAGAAGTCTGTGCTCTTCTGTTTTTTATCCAAATTCTGATTTCAGAAGCCAAGCATTTTGTACAAATTTTATTTGTTCACCAGACATTTATTGAGCATACATTTTCTTCCAGGGCACAAGGATTTAAGCATTTGAAAGATAATGGGGTCAAATACACTGTGACGGAAGGAGACTGGACTTTGCGTGGTGAACACACAATGCTATATAAAGATGATGTATTATAGAACTGTACATCTGAAACCTATATCATCTTATTAATCAATATCACCCCAAATAACTTTAATAATATTTAAAGAAAAGAAAGATAAAGGGAGATGGGGCAGCTACTTCCTGTTTGTGATAAGTCTCACGTAGCAGGGAGCACAGAAGGCATCATCTGGCCTGGGCAGAATCTTAAAAGCCAGTTAGATGTTTGCCAGGCAGATCAGGATCGGGAAGGTCATCCCACCCAGACGGCAGGCAGGAAATAAGGCATGAGAACTCCGGGCCGTTTGGGGGCCTGCCCTGGTAAGCAGGCATGAGAAGGATCTGTGTGGAGCATGGCAAACGCCAGATCTTGGGGGATTTGGAATGTCAGCCAAGACCCTTGTTGCGCCGTCACCCAAGGTCAGATGAGGGAGGGGAGGGGGGAGGTGGTTGCAGCAGAAGTCTCCAAGCTGAGGTGTAGCATGGTCATATTGCACTTTGGAAGGTCCCCCTTGGTCTGTGTGGACAGTGGCTGGAGGAGATCTAGGCAGGGGTGTGGCTAGAATGCCATTAGCAGAAAGGAAGGCCTCAAATGAAATGTGCAGGACCCAAGGTCCGGCCAGGAGCAGGTAGCGTCAAGGGTGGCCCTCGAGCTGTGGCTTGGGGGACTAGATGCTTGCTCTCAGGCTGTGTGTGCAAATGCATCAACCATCTCGTGTGTACTGATGTTTTAAGTTTCGCTTTAATACAGCCTCAAAGACTCCTCCGTCCCACTCGCCCGCCGCCTCCCAAGATACAGCGCTGGAGGCCCGTGAGTAGCCAGTGATTCTGCCCTCCCTCCTAACACTGCCTGGGCCGCTGTCCCCGCCTCACTAAACCTCCTGGGGAGTTTGAACTCAGCTGCCTTGCAAAAGAAAACCGGGGATTGGGGGTTCCAGCTTCCCTCTCTGTGTGGCATGAACCCGAATTTGCATTTTCTGGGCTTCTCTCTCCTTTTTCTGAAGCAGTTTGGGGACTTGAGGTCAGAGGTGGAGGTCGCGGGGGGCCGCTGTTGTGTGTTTGCTGTGTGTGCAGCACAGGAGCTGGATCTCCTAGGTTGAGCCGTGTGTCAAAGCCCGGCTCCAACTGCCTCTTCTCACAAAGCCTGGCCACACCCTCTAAATCCAGATTAGGATTTAGAAATTCATTTGATGTCCCTCCCAAGGGCCGAGGCTACACCCCGAGAATGTGGCGCAGCTCAGATGGAGACAGGTGCTCCTCCTCTGGTGGGCCTCACCTGGAGCTCACCTGCTCATGTGGTAACATGTGGCAAAGGGGTAGGAAGGCAAGAGGGGAGGCCCATCACTGTTTTTTAGAGAAATACAGTGGAAAAATACAGCGTGGGTCCTGCATTCAGCCGAGGTGAAGTCATTTTCCTTATAAGCTCAGACTTGGCCGTGCCCAGGCATAATAACTCTAGCAGGTTCCTTTGACGAGGGAAACTTGCCAGGACCGTTTGGTGAGGGCCGTTTACCGAGAAAAGAGAGTCCCTCCATCTCGCGCTTAAAGCGGCCGCCGCTCCTGCAGCCCAGCAAGAGGGGTCAGGGTTCCACCCGGTTGCCACTGGGGTTTCCCACGCCCTCCCGCCCTCCCCAGTGCACATGTCCAATCCAGCTGTGAAAGGCGTGGCGGCCAGGCCGAGCTGTGTCTGTTTTTAGTCCTCGGTGCACCTGTGGCATTCGTGGGGTGGCCACTCTCTGTGGCTGTGAGAAGTTCCAGGTACTTCTTCCCTTCCCTCGCCCGCCGTGTGTGGGGGTGAGGGCGAGGGTGGAGTTGGGGGCTAAGGTGCCTTCGCCTGCGGCCGTCATGACGGACCGCTCCCGTTACCGCTCACACAGGGGTCGGCACAGCGTCCAGGGCTGGAGCGTCCCTCACTCAGGGAGAAAGGCACAAACGGCTCAGAGGAGCCAGTGGGGACAGGCAGCCGCTTCTGGTCAGACCTTGTGGAATGTGGTGACTTTCAGCGCAGCCCTTAGCAACGGGGGTGGGCGTAGACAGAGCTGGACTTGGATGCCTGAGCCCTGGGCTGTGGGGAGTCCTCAGCTCGGAGCCCCACCTGTCCCTGTGACACACCCTCATTCACGAGGGGTTCCTGAGCAGAGCGTAGACGACACATGTAAAGCCCAGCACGGTGCCTGGCACACCTAACAGTTCTTCGTCGTCCTAACGGGTTTTTAAACTTTACAACTTCTAAGGAGTGATGTGGTTTCTTAATAACTGTCATTGGCGAGGGCTTTTCTAGTCAGCAAGTCCTTCTTGGGCACATCCTCTGGTTGAGCCTCACAGTCACCGTGAAGAAGGCCCTGTCTCCACCCTGTAAGAAGTGAGGCGAGCCCCACCTTCAGGGGTCCTGCTAGAACCCAAAGCTGACCCCGGAGCCAGGCAGCAGGCAAATGCCTTCACTCCTGCAGGAGGCGCCGCAGTGGTCTGGGAGCACATGCACACGAGCAGGCGGTCTGCTCGGCCTTTTAATCCTGACCCCATGACCTGGCCCTCACTTTTGATTGGAGCTCAGGCGCACAGTCTTTCGCGATTGGCTAATTCAAAAGGAGAGGTTGGCCTTTGCCGTTTCAAGATGGCGGCCGCCAGGGGAGCCACAGGTCATGGGGCAACATGGTGGCTGCCAAGTCACGCAGTCCAAAGTGACGGCTGTCTACACGGTCCTTTATTCCCACAACCCAGTTTAGAGGTGAGAAAACCGATGCTTGGCGACCTGGCCCAGGTCCCTCCGCTGCAGGTAGGAGTCACCTGACCCGAGGACCCCTGGCCTCCCAGCATGCGAGCTCCTGCTGCTCACTCCGTTTCCGTGGAGTCCCTCTCAGCGTGGCGTGGGAGCAGAGCCTGCCCTTTATTCCCACAACCCAGTTTAGAGATGAGAAAACCGCTGCAGGTAGGAGTCACCTGACCCAAGGACCCCTGGCCTCCCAGCATGCGAGCTCCTGCCGCTCACTCCGTTTCCATGGAGTCCCTCTCAGCGTGGCGTGGGAGCAGAGCCTGCAGCTGAGGACGCACCACCAGCAGCCCGCGGGGCTCTGTGGCGCCTCTGGGGCAGCATTGGTCCGGGCAGGCATACAGGGTGAAGAGCATTAGCATTGACCTTCTATGGGCCTGGGACTGTGCTGAGCACTTGAATAGTTGTTTGTTTTTACAGCAGCCAGAGGAGGCAGGTGCTGCTTCCCCATTGCAGCTGAGACCAGAGATGATCAGAGGCCCAGCCGTCCCTTGAGCCCAGGCCTGCCCTGCCTCTCCCCGCTCCTCACCAGCAGCCTCTCCTTAAGCCACAGTCATCCGCTCGGCAGCGCTCAGCATTCCCAACAGAGACCTGGGACC